TACTAGGGGCTCCTGGCCTTACTACTAGGAGCAAGAAGCTACTAGGAACAAAGGGCATCGCCACTGGGAACAAGGACGCGACGCTTCATCGATCACAGCGTAGCTAACGCGGTCGAAGTGCCAAAATCACCATCGCCGAGGCTTTGACGACGACGGGTGAAGTGTTTGCGTTTGGCTTGAACAGTCCCTTGGTAGCCATGTGGCGCCCGCACTGGATTTTTGTGATTTCGTTTGGAGAGCCAGTTAACTGTTCAAGTTGATCTGGGTGTTTCTTTGTCTCAGCAAGTGCTGTTAGACGGAGACAAAGAGATGAACTCAAGGTCACGGTCAGCTTGGCTTTCCCACGGTGAAGAGTCTCTACCTCAGCGCCTTAAAGCCATCGCTTCGTACAGAGGGGCTCCTGGCCTTGCTACTAGGAACAAGGATGCTACTAGGGGCTCCTGGCATTACTACTAGGAGCAAGAAGCTACTAGTAACAAAGGACATCGCTACTAGGAGCTAGAAGCTTTTAGGTTGGAGGCCATTGCTATTAGGTTTCCTTGCTAGTTGGGTCTCTATATGGTGTGGGGAAGAAAGGCCTAGTCTGCCAGGAGGAGTTGGAGGCAAACTAGTAAGGAGTAAACGCCAAGCTTGAATGCGTTAAAAGTCTTCTCACAACGAATTCGCGCCAGCTTGCATAGAATTGTTGTGCTGGCGTTTTGCGCGTCAGCCAGACGGAACACCGGAAGCTTACCTGCATTTTGAGGTGCCAACGAAAGCTTTCTTGCCGAGCATGAGAACGGAGCGCCTTTTGTGCAACAGTGCCGTCAATGTGTTTGCCAGGTGTGATGACATTGTGTGTGAAAAATGGAAGTTTCTCCTTTTTGCCCGCTCCTCTCTCCTGTAGAGGTAATGGCTAGGTAGCTAGCACCTTACTTAAGCTACTAGTATGGACGCTGGATAGCTCACATTGGTTCCTAGATTTGGGGGGAAACTTAACAAACCATAGATAATTACATAGTGATGCATATTGAGAAGATTTCCCAGAGAGATTTGGTGTGCTTGGACGTAATTAATTAATTAGTTACACGTCATGGCATGGGCTTGTATCAATTCTATAGATGTCTGCAGCTTCCTGTTTCAAAGCCGTCGCTATATGGAGAGCTTTGCGGAAAAAAAAAAAACACAATGTTTATGTTGAGTCGAAGCAGGAGACCCATTGACCCAGCATCAGATGCTCCAGCAAAAGGCCATGCGAGACAGGGCCAAGGCACAAGATCGAGATCTATCAATTTCTTTGTGGTTGATTGTTGACAAGGAAAGGAACAACAAGCGATGGCCTCCAACCTACTTAACGAAAGAAACAACAACAGGAACTTGTCTACAACAATGTAGAAAAGCAATCAAAGGAGCAAGGACATTACTAGTATCTCCTGGCCTTACTACTAGCAACAAGAAGCTAATGTTGTGTCCACACTTTTTCGTGAATGGACCTGGGTAGGCTCGCAACAAGGTCGAGATGGAC